AAAATCACTGAAAAACGCGGCAAAGTTTGCAAGGCTATATTATCCGCATTTTACAACATTTCGCAACGAAACTTCGGAATATTACTAATTTTGTGATGTTCTTTCAAGCTGTAATGAAATTTTTGTCCAGACTTGTCTAGATCAATATTTCACTCAAACGGGGAAAGATCTATTGCGTGCCTTCGCCTCATCATTGCTTTGCATGGCCAGGTCAAGACGGTTCTGAACAGTTTAAGACGCGGGGATCTTGGCAGAAAGTAGGCGTAAAGCCCGCCGCACGCGAGCGCACTTGTCGCACGTACTTGTTATTCGTGACAAGTTGGATCGACAAAATGTCTTCGTGTGCGGGCAACATTTTTTTTAATTTTTTTATTTACGCCCGTAAAAAATATCAAGTTATTTACATTTATTTTTCTATTGTTTTGGATAGGCTAGGGGCCTTCTAGAAACCTACTAGACTTTTTAATTAAGACCCCTATAGACTATACTTATATTGTTTCATTCTATTTAGTCAGTTCGAATAATATATTGGATTGAACAAAGATAAAAGCGTATATAACAAGTATAAAATAAAACATTAACATGCATATAAACTTAATTATATATATTCGAAGTGGAGGATACTGTATATGTATATTTACAGTAAAGAAAGTGATAATATATTTTAAACCATTATACATCCATTGTTGAATATATAATGATTTTAATTTTAATTTTAAAAGTGCTATAAGAGAAAATAGATTTGTATTTAGATGCTATGCTATTCCAAACATCAACTCCTTTGTTAGAAAGAGTATGGATTACATAATTCGTTCTTTTATAAGTCTTGTGAAGCTTAGTTGCATTCCTTGTGCCATGGTCATGTATTTTATTATTGGGTATGAAATAATTTACGAATGTTTCTGGTAAATTCTTCAAATCATGATATCGAAACATAAATAAACTTGTTAGGTATTGATTCAATTTATAAATGCTTAGTATTTTTAACTCCTTAAATATTGGTTCGGTATGTTCAAAGTAAGAATTAAACGTCATTAGACGAATAATCTTTTTCTGAATATTTACTAATTTTTGTGTTCTCTTTTTGTATGTGTTACCCCATATTAGATTGCCGTAAATAAGATATGGATATACTAATGCATAATAAATTAATTTAAGAGCTTTCAAGTTTATGAAATGTCGGATCCTGACAATGACTGCTGTTGATTTTATAATTTTCTTTGATATTTGCTGTAGATGATAATTCCATGTCAAACATTCATCAACAACAATACCCAAAAATGTTGTCTTTCTAACTTGCTCAATAATTTTATTATTTAAATAAATTGTTATATTATGTTCTTGTTTTTTCCTTCTCGAGGACCGAAATACAATAAATTCTGTATTTATAGATAGTTTATTAATATTTAACCAAACAGCTATTTTATTTATTTCCTCTTGTATTGTTTGGTTTAATGTTTTAAGGCAAGCGTGACTATAAAATATGGTTGTGTCATCAACAAATAATATATTTGAAATAATATTGCTACAATTCTGGATATAATTTATATACAAAAGAAATAACAAAGGTCCCAGTACTGATCCTTGAGGAACACCACTTGTAATTGTCATATCTTTTGATTTCATTTGGTTAGACTATACTATTTGCTTTCTGTTCTTTAAATAATTTTCAAACCAGTCTTTGGATATACCCCTTATACCATAATATTCCAGTTTTTTAATGAGAATCTTTATGGCATTTTCGTCATTCGTGACATGTAAGCCAAATATCAAACATGTTTGATATTTTTCGTCATTCGTGACAAAAAAACTAAACGACAAGCGCGCCTGAATAGGAAAATTTGCGCATGCGTGCTCGTGATTTTGATCCGCCATGTTGTTTTTAATTCTGCAAGTTGCACGCATGCGCAAATTTTCCGATTCAGGCGCGCTTGTCGTTTGCTCGCCTCACACGAGAATTTTTTTGTCACGAATGACGAAAAATATCAAACATGTTTGATATTTGGTTTACATGTCACGAATGACGAAAATGCCGTAAATGTTGCCCGCACACGAGGAAATTTTGTCGATCCAACTTGTCACGAATAACAAGTACGCACGACAAGTGCGCTCGTGTGCGGCGGGCTTAACATAGAAAGATGGAGTCGGAGTCCCGGAGCCGGAGTGCCGGATTTGGAGTCTCGGAGTCATAAAAGATATGGTAAACACGAAGTTATAAGCAAAACACAGAGTCTGATGTCAGATAAAAATATGGAAAACACGGAGTCTTATGTCTGGGAATATACGCAAAAACATGGAGTCGGCCGTAAAATATGGGAAACACGGAGTCTGACGTACCCACCACAACGTTGGTCTCAAACTAAGGCATTGCCGGATTTTGAGGGAAGGTGCATGTGTGGAGGTGCGTTCCCATCCTTAGAAAACGTGCACATCCCCTGAAAAGTAATGCACCTTCCTTTGGGAAAGTTTCAATGATAGATCAAAGTGAAAATTTGACTTTTTGGTTGTTTCGGTCTACACTCTGAAAGAATGTTTTTCTGTAAAATTGATAACAGTGTAGTCATTAATCTCTGTGTCAAATACCCTTTTAATGCAATGTTTGGAAAGAAACTTTGTTGTAATTGTAATGAAGAGCAAAATGTCAAATTTGGATGAGTTGTATATACAGTAATAATTTATTAATACACCGGTACATATGTATGCATATAATTATGTAACACTACATACATACGTCAGCTCGTCGAGATTGGCCCGTTCTGAGCCATAACTTTCCATGGGGGTCGTGATCCAGACTGCTGCACCTATCCAAATTTTTTCCCACCTCCCCAACTATTTCCACCAAAATCCAGCCTTGGACTAAGGTTTCAGAATTATTTTGTGCTCTTCTTATATCCATTTTCATTTCCGGATTACCACAACTTGTTGGTCTCAGGGTACCAGAATCAACGTAAGCGTAAACGGGTTAATAAGAGCTATAAAACAAATCGCGTTTCAAAAATATAAACATTATTTAGCCAAAAGGATGAGGGTAAATAAACAAGCGTGATACGAAGCATCAAACCTTGTCGTTTCCTCAAAAAAGATGAATACCAAATGTTGTTGTGCTTTTGCTTGATGTATAATTTAAACAATTTTTTTTACATCTAAAAATTGTGCCTGGTGATCAAAACTTGCATTTTAAACATTAGCCAATTGTCGGATTATAAACGTCCAATCCGATCCGATGCACACCTCTAGTGCCTATATCACTTGTGGGACCTTATGGATTTGAAATGAGCGTAAAAAGTTAATCAATAAGGTCAAAAGATTTTTTTGATATGGTGCAATAATTTCGAAGGTACAGGCCTCTAAACTACCTACAGTTCCTGAGTCCCGAGCTCCTACGGATCAAGACAGCACAAAGAGAGTTACACGAACGTGTTAAGAAGAAAGAGTTCAATATGCTTAGTCCATTCACAGGTGAAAATGAAATCACAACAGCAGGCGGACGAGTGGATAAAGCTATCCTAACGTGTGATTCGAAGCATGCATCCAGTACTTTGTCCAAAAGAACCCGCGTTACAGAGTTGGATTTCTACAAAAGATTCTTGACTGGTTTTGGAAACGATGGACCAGAGACGTCTTTCCCTGTTTAGTTCCACGAAAGAAATGGGACGTTCAACGACGCGATGTCAAAGTCAACGATATTGTCATGTTAGTTAATTCGAAAGCGGCACGAGGCAATTGGACGATCGGAAGAATTATTGAAGTTCACCCAGGTAAAGATGGAAAATTGAAATCGAAATGTAACAGTAAAAACACAAAACAGTAATTACCGAAGGTCAACTACAAAGATCTCAGTTATACACTCCGTGGACTGAGAATAGAACGAGAACAATGTCCTCATTGGCGGGGAAGAGTTTCGCAAATTAATACATAAATAATAATGTCATTCAACAGACACAGTCACGTGACTGAAAAATAGCGGGAAATTAACACGTTGGTTTTTTGTTGTTTACTCGAGGTTTAACGTTCAAAGAAATAGGTTTACATTTTGTATTGCAAAGTGATATAGGCCAAAGAAGGTTCATGTTGTTTCTTATTATTAATTTACTTTATTTAGTAATTAGTAGCTCATTTTTGTATTTATAATTTAAATCCAATACTATTACTATTATTCTTATACGATATTTGCAAATTCTTTGTAGTCACTTTAGACAACGGTTTCTGATTCTGGCAAGCCAGTAGTCTCTGTCGAAGACGTTTTTAAAATGTCCTAAAATTTCAAACAGAAGGAACTACTGACAACGTGAAATCCTGGTTACATTTTATTTTTGGATTTGAATGAAATGTGAAGATTGCAAAGCAATTTGCTGTTGAACGTGCTATTCCCTTGGTAATCTATTTCTATATAATTCAAAACTTTCATTTCGACATAAAGTTAAGTTAATACCGTTACTGTGATCGTATAGAATTTGGCTTAATTACGCTGTAATTTAAGTAATCATTGCCTATAAAAGGTACATATTGCATCATAATAATATCCGCCACATGATTAGCAATTATGGCCAATTCTTGTGGAACGACAGGAGAAATTTCAGAATTGTAGCCTAATCTTAAAATCCTATATTCTTGCTTTTTGCTATTTTATTTGAACTGGCCATGACACGATGAATAACTTATTCACAGTCACGTAAACATTGAAAAGGGGATGGGGTTTCTTGCAGGAATATAGCAAATCCCCTCCAATACTGAACGTTAAAATTATTACCGTGCGTTCTACAAACAATATTGCCCACGATTCAACCGCGGTAATTGCGTAGTATTTTACGAAACCATCAGTTAAATGTGTCTCTTAAAGACATACCTCATATATACTGGCCCTCTTTATGAAAAAAAATGTGTGCAGGCAGGCAGTGAAGTGCAACACATGTTCATGAAATGTTAGATGTGTTAATTAATACAGTATGTCCTCCTTATACAGAATTTAAGCATGGAAAATGATTCGCAACTGCACATGAGTCTATATTTATTTATGAAATTTAAAAGATTGAAAGATTGACGTAGCTAAGCAAGAAATAAAAGTACAGTATAGGGACGAGAATAGGACACGGTCTTGTTATACCTACAATTGACTTGCTATAAATCTGACAAAACTATTGTACTGGACAATAATAAGCAAACATGTGAATTAACTTAATCTAAGACTAACGCCTGTATCCTAAAAGCCCACTCACACTCAAGGAGTGGAAGTCCGATCTGAGCTGCCCTAGAGTGTCAATGCTGTTTTTGAGTAGCTGACGGGTTAGTGTCATAGCTTACTATGCGACTACTCACCCTTCACCTATTCTAAAACAACATTGACACTCAAGGAAAGCTCAGATTGAACCTCCACTCCTTCAGTGTGAGCGTGAATGAGCTTTTAGAATACAGGCGTAAACCGATGAACCGCATGGCCAACTCTTCCTACGCATCATATTAAGTACGCTACATGCAATACCAACAGGGGCGCCTGAAAGTCGATAATTGGGGGGGAGGGCAGATATTCATATATTCATGTTCTGCATCATTTATTTCCTTTGAAAGCGATTGTTTTTACAGTCTGTGAACATGAATATATGAATATCTGCCCCCCCCCCAATTATCGACTTTCTGGCGCTCGAAATACCAACGTATATAAAATGTAATGTTTTCTTCTATTAAAACTTAATTCTACAAGAAAGACAAATTAACGTCACACAATGACGATTGAAGTGAGATTTCCAATATGTTGAACTCTGTATATGTTCCAAATATCGATCCTGATTTCTACAAGAGCAAAGAATAAGTAAAGCTTTAATTCACTTTAGGTTAATTTAATTGCTGGATCCTATGCACTGGAAATCAGTGGTTAATATCATACACTTTTGAGCTTCCCCGCAGAGTTTTAGAACTAATGCGCAGACTAGCTGAAAGGAGCTGATATGGCAGATAAAGTAGTTTATACCTCAAAAGATTTGGACAACAGCTTGTTTAATTATAGTTAATAGAATAGATGATTTGGAAACTCATTAGAATAACAATATAACTCATTATTTATGACAGTCATCGTTCACCCTCACGTGTGTATATTGTATTTTTGCCCAACTAACCAATAGCAATGTTTTAGGAAAGTTACCTATTCCTGACTCGAACAATGGAGTAAATTGGAAATTGCTATTCGTGGATTTGGCAAAAATACAATACACACGTGACGGTGAAGGACCATATTTATGGATAAACGTTGACTAACATGGTTAACGAGTTATATTGTTATTCTAATCTGTTTCCAAACCATGTATTCTATTAGCTATATGGTTTCATCCAAGAGAATTCATCAGGTGGCTGACAAATTACGAAAAATAGGCAGCTTAAATCTTTACGGTCATAACGGGGGCATGTTGGCGTCAAACAATACATGAGTTTCTTCCGTTGTTAACGTTGTTTACTAGGAATGTCTTTTTCCCATTACAGGACGGAACTAATTTCAACTTTTTTTAGTAATTTTTTTTTATTTTTTTCCTTTAAAATAAGACTTTTTGCTCTGAACGTAAATTTCATCTTTTTTATCCTCCCATATAAGAAAAGGCGTGTTTTAGTATTGGCCAGGTTATGTCTAAATATTTTTCGTTTCTTTTAATTTCCAAATATATTTCGAAAGATCCGTATCATTTGAGTATTTTTTGTGAGTGATAGATTTAATGTGGTTTCGGTATCGCTCTTTAAAAGTGCTTGCTGTCATGCCAATGTAGTGCTTAATGGTGTTTGTGTTTGCTCGTTGTCAGTGACAGTCGCCTCGCATACTACATCCTTCGTGGGTCGTGCATATTTCGTAGAGTGGTCATGGGTTCCTATAGTCCTGCAGTTGAAACTGTCTGCATGCATGTGCTTTCGCCGTGTGGCTGTTTTTATTTCAAATTATGCGCGCATTATGTTTGGTAGTTATGCGCTTCACATTTTTCATGCAACTACTGTATAACTGACCTTAACTCTGTTTTTGTTAAAATATTTCTAAGGCATTTCTTGTGATTAGGTGGAAAATATTTGTTAATTAGGCTGAGGAAATTACGCCTTATGTTGGTTTTGACACTCTTACTGAATGTAGGTTTAACCCAAATATTATTGCGTTTCCTATTTCTGCGTGATTGTAGCCAGATTGTGGTTGAAATTGTTGTGTGCATTTGTAAATAGGTTCAGTTTCCAGAAATGTTTGCTCGTCTGACGAGGGATGTGAAATCCGTTGTTTGATTGATGTAGGTAGTTGTATTATGATGCTTGGTGGATGGATTGAATGTCTGTTTATGTATATAATGAATCGTAATTGGGCTTGCTCTAAGGTTTTTATTCTCCATTGCTGATGTCGAATGTGACATCTGAGAAGTTTGTTACTCGTAAATTTGCCTCTGCTGTTTTTTTTTAACTTAAACTGCCTGAATGTTTAGAGTGGAGTTCTTTTCTCATTTCATCTACCAAATGTGCTGCTCTGCTTAATGTGCGAATCTTAACGCAAGTGCACACAAACTCCCTCTAAGGAACTTTTAACTAAAATACAATAAAGCCTAAAAATCTTCCGTAGTCAAGCGAATGTGTTCCAATATCAAATCATAAAATTTTCTAAAATTGGCAAGTAATAATAAATTGCATGGAGTCAACACAATATGCTTCCAAATAATGAAAAAACAGAAAGAAACAATTTGCAAATCGCATAAATAGAATGCAAATCTGAAAATAAATGTAAAAAAGAACTTAAAGAATGAGAGAACAATAACGAAATTAGTAGAACATTTTGACTTTTACAAATTCCTGCTTCACGTATAGCTATACATAGTCGCCAATTTGGTCGAATGTAAGGTGCGGGGACATCGATAGGTTACGCTGGGCCCGGACAAAAACTTTGGATAGGGAACCCCATGACGTCATAATTCTAAAAGGGGAGAAACGGTGTTTTACAATATAGTACACTTTATTACATATTATCCGAACCTAACGCAGCTCAGGGCATAATAAAACACGGGCGAGGAAACGCGCTAATCCATGTGTGATCCGGCTGGGGAATGGCACGAGCGCGCGTTTTGCAAAAAATCAAGAAGAAAAGCGAAAATGGCAGCGAAACGAGATTTTTTCAAGAGCTGGATGTTCGAAGTTATAATAATGATATGTTTAAACTTTAGCCTAAATATTCAGTGTAACATTGAAAGAAAAGCCACTATATACTTTCATTTTACTTTATAAAAATCCGCAAAAATGCACTGCCTTTTAATAAATAAATGTCAATCAACATGTTTTGATTTTTATTTCTGTTAAAATGTATCATTTTTAAGGGCTGAAATTAGATTTTACATTGTTTTTAAAGTCCATAGATTATGCTAGGTAAATTTGATGGCGCAATTGAAAATTAAAGTTGCCAAAATTATAATACATTACACTACTTAATACAGCTAGACCGGCTTTTACTGCATGGCTTTTTTGGCTGTACTAATTTTAGTTTCATGAAGTTAAAAACCTTTTGTACATCAAATTAAGTATAGCTATTAATTTTTGTTGCTCGCAACAGAATAAATGTTTAATTACGTTCTCAAAAAGCCGTCAAGTGCATCATAAGTGCATTGATAATTAATTCAAGAATACCGAGTTTATTAAACTTATTAAACTGGGACGGGATATTTTATAAACAATAGAGAGGTTAAGATACCCCGGTTTCGGTGTACGTGTACGGGTAGCATGATTTTGGTTAGCAATATTTTCGTCGATGTCTGTATACCTATACTCGTAATTAAGGTGCAAATTTTTCGCATTATATCATTGTCTGTTGCACAAAAACAGAAAAAGTATATGATCGAATTACAGACATCAGTAAAACAAGATGACACTACTCGTACCCGTACCCCGAAACCGGGGTATCTAAGCCTCTCTAATGAAAAACAAACCGCAGAAAAATTGTATTTTTGCTCGTAAAAGCTTTCCTAGGTCCGAAACCTACACAAAACGTTTGTATTCTATAAGAGATTAAGTTATGATATATCCGAAATACAAGATTAGATAACCGGATTTTTTCGGATAAAGCATATCTTTTCCCCTTGCTTTTTTACGTTGCCAGATAAAAAATATGGCTATACATCGCTAGTTTAACAATGAAAAACAAACCGCGGAAAAATTGTATTTTTGCTCGTAAAATTTTTGCTAGGTCCGAAACATACCAAAAAACTTTGTATTTTACGAGATTAAGTGATGATATATCCGAAATATGACATTGGATAACCGGCTTTTTTGATAAAACATTTATTTTCGCCTAGCTTTTTAACGTTTCAAGATCTAAAATATAGCTGCTTGCCATTTTAACATGAAAAAAAATTACCAATTTTAACATCAAAAATTCAAAAACACATCTAATTTAGCATACCTGATTTCCAAACACATATTCCAGTTGCAGCGTTTATGACAACAGCCGTTTGAAAACTTATCTTCATCTATATTTTCATCTTATAAACATACAGAAGAACGCAGTTGTTTTGCAAAAAATCGTGATAACTAGCTCGTGAGTCGTATTATAAATAGTCGAAATGTCGAACCCCGCAGTGAAATTCCCGGCTTTATCTAAACTATTCACTATCACCATTATTAAGAATCCTGAAAAAGCTTTTGTTTTCTAGTAGCACAGAACCCCCATATCCATTGTGTATTCAGCTCGAATTGTATTTCTCGCATCGTAATTTTAAAACCAAGCCAAAACAAGCACGCTTGTTCGAACCGGGCATGGAATAAAAATCAAAATATGCGGGGGGGGGGACCTGCATCACACATAGATCAGGGGCGCCATAGCCGATTCCCCGCCCGTGTTTTACAGCGCCTTGTGCTGCTCTATGGATTACGTTCTCAGTTAAGCAATCTTGTATCAAGAAATAGCAAGAGCCGGCTTCGTTGCTGTGGAGGCCCCGTTTGAGGTGGAGACCCAGGGAAAAGTGCCTCCCTACACTCCTCCCTCTCGGTGGCCCTGGCAAGGAAACGACTTCTGCCGCCATTCTTCAAGGGTATCGCAATAAGGCAATATTTCGACGTGACATGTAAATTAGTCGGGAAGTATACAATACTGATGTAATATTTGTGATTTCTTCTTGCAATGGATTGGCTAAATTTTGCACTAATTGTAGAGCTAACTTTAAGTTCTTATACATCTGCTACCTGATCTAGATTATCTAGAATGAAAAAGTTATAAACTTGACAGCTAAAGGCCCTGTCACACTATTGCGTATCGTACTAGCGTATGGCAGCGTATGAAAAATATGACTCATACGCCGGTATACGCTGACATACGCTAGGGGTACGTCGGGCAATGGTTGTATACGTTTCAAGCACGGTCGCGTACGGTGGCATACGCTGGCATACGGCGAAGCAGAATTTTTTTTTAAGCATGCTCAAAAATTTTGTGCGTATGGGACGTATGCTTTATACGATAAGCATACTCTAGGCACACGCTGAATACGCCAGATGTGCGGTACTCATACGCAGGCATTTCAAAGGATTTTTGTGCGTATGAAAATTATTTCATTCATTTTCATACGCTTCTGATACGTTTCTCTCATACGCAATAGTGTGACAGGGCCTTAATACATCCTTTCGCGCTAATCGATCTGACCAATATAGCATGCATGATAGAGGAATTTAAAGCCTTGCTGTAAAATAACTGATAATTGTTTCAAATGTCTATTTCCCAGCCCGGTTGTATAAACTCCTACACCAGTTAGCGTTAACTGCAGTTATTAAAAAGTAGTTAAAATTAGGCAGTTAAAGTTAA